ATGGAAAGCCAAATTAACATAAGGAATATATGTAATCCCATAAACTCAGTGCCATAATAAAAATTCTCTTCTGACAACTCTATCTTTAGTCAACAGTAATGAGGTTAAAAGTTATAGGCAAGGGAATATATATCCCAAAATTTGTTTTATTTATTGGGATGAAACTGTTAATTGTATGATATACCTGACTAACACAATTGGCTTCTCCACTGGGTTTAACAGGTGATCTTAAGTATTTATTTTCACTTAAATTCTTTTTTTTTTTTTTCGGAGACGGAGTCTTGCTCTGTCACCCAGGCTGGAGTGCAGTGGTGCAATCTCGGCTCACTTCAACCTCTGCCTCAGGGTTCAAGCAATTCTCTGCCTCAGCCTCCCGAGTAGCTGGGATTACAGGTGCCCACCACCACGCCCAGCTAATTTTTGTAGTTTTAGTAGAGACAGGGGTTCACCATCTTGGCCAGGCTGGTCTTGAACTCCTGACCTCGTGATCCACCCACCTTGGACTCCTAAAGTGCTGAGATTACAGGCGTGAGCCATCGTGTGCATCCAACCTCACTTAAATTCTTAATGAATATTGATATTTTGGTAAGCCAATCTACTTCCCAAGAAGATTGTGGCCATTTGATTTTTTTTAGCTCTTTCAAATTTATATAACATATGTTTTTGTTTTTTTCTTTTGAGACAGAGTTTCACTCTTGTCACCCATGCAATGGCACGATCTTGGCTCACTGCAAACTCTGCCTCCCGGGTTCAAGCAATTCTCCTGTCTCAGCCTCCCAAGTAGCTGGCATTACAGGTGCTAACCACCACACCTGGTGAACAACCCGCTAGATCTGTATAAGTCTATCCTGTAGTCCTTTCGGCCATTTGATAGAAATTGAACAGGGAGTCAGAAACTGGGAATCAGAGTTTCCAAGTTCTTGCTCACCCCATGACCTTGGAGAGATGTTTGTCCTTTTAAGAATCTGTTTCCTCATCTGGAAACAAAGTTAAATTTTGTTGTCGTTTTTTTAGTAGAGTACGGGTTTCACCATGTTGGCCAGGCTGGTCTCGAACTACTGACCTCAGGTGATCCGTCCGCCTCGACCTCCCAAGGTGCTGAGATTACAGGCATGAGCCATCGCACCCAGCCAACACATGGTCTTTTTAGGCATTAAAATTCCATTAAAAAATTAACACAGCAGCTTGGAAAATATACTAAGTCTCTTGTAAAAGGTAGTAAGACATACAAGAAAAGTGAAAAAGTGCCAGGATTAAGTAATTCAATGCTTTGTAACTCAGATTTAAGAATTTGGATTAGTGCTAGTCTATTAAAAAAAAAAAAAGCCTGCAACAATTCAGCAAACAATGGATTAGAGAAACTATGAAATTGACAAACAATATGCAATTCAGAGAAATGTAAGAAAGGTGATTTAAAACGGTAAAACTGGCAAATTTACAAGCAGGAAGAGGCTTTTTAGTGAACAACCATTTTCAATTTCTGGAATACAGGGAAATGTTTTGGAATTTCAAAATAACTCATTGTAAGATGAAGATTTAAAACAGCAAGAAAAACAATAATGACCTGTCACTACTGTTCACTGCTGCCCAGAACCTTCTACTGAAGTGTTAATAAACATCATCAGTCATGTAATCTCAGACTTGAATTGTGGTGCAAGTCACAAGAATACAGTGAAAATGTCTCTGAAGTTAAAAACTACAACAACAAAAGTAGGAGTGTTAATTTTTTTAGGTAGGTTTGTTTTTCTGAAGTTCATTAAAAGACTGGCTGGGCACGGTGGTTCATACCTGTAATCCCAGCACTTTGGGAGGCCGAGGTGGGTGGATCACAAGGTCAGGAGTTCAAGACCAGCCTGGCCAAGATGGTGAAACCCCATCTCTACTAAAAATACAAAAATTAGCTGGGTGTAGTGGTAGATGCCTGTAATCCCAGCTACTCGGGAGGCTGCGGCAGAATTGCTTAAACCCGGGAGGTGGAGGTTGCAGTGAGCCGAGATCACGTCACTGCATTCTAGCCTGGGTGACAGAGGGAGGCTCCATCTCAAAAAATAATAATAATAAATAAATAAAGACCAACTACTTCAAGCAATTTATGGTCAATCATTGATTTAAAAACGGCCAAGGCAAAAAGGTTTTGTGGGACAAACTGTCATTGGGATAGGTCCTTAAGCTGCAGATTCATCAAAAAGTACAAAATTATGCTGGACACGGTGGCTCACGCCTCTAATCCTAGCATTTTAGGAGATCCAGGTGGGCAGATCACAAGAGGTCAGGAGTTCAAGACCAGCCTGGTCAACATGGTGAAATCCCATGTCTACTAAAAACACAAAAATTAGCTGGGCGTGGTGGCACACGCCTGTAATCCTAGCTACTTGGGAGGCTAAGGCAGGAGAACTGCTTGAACCTGGGAGGTGGAGGTTGCCGTGAGCCAAGATCACGCCACTGCACTCCAGCCTGGGCGACAGAGCAAGACTCTGTCTCAAAAAAAATAAATAAATAAAGTACAAAATTTGATGGTTCTGAAACTTGGATTTATGTCTCTTTGAGTAGCTGCATTGCAATCTTTTCTTTTCTTCTCTTTTCTTTTTGAGATGGAGTCACCCAGGCTGGAGTACAGTGGCACGATCTTGGTTCACTGCAAGCTCTGCCTCCCAAGTTCACGCCATTCTCCTGCCTCAGCCTCCCAAGCAGCTGGGACTACAGGTACCCGCCACCACGCCCGGCTAATTTTTTTGTATTTTTAGTAGAGATGGGGTTTCACTGTATTAGCCAGGGCGGTCTGGATCTCCTGACCTCGTGATCTAAAGTGCTGGGATTACAGGCATGAGCCACCACGCCCGGCCCACATTCTTTTCAATTACTAACACTTGATCAAAATGTAAAGCAGCAAATAGATTTTAAAAAAACAAACAAACCAAGACATTACTTAAGGTGTTTTTCTGAAAATCTAATTCCTGGAGCTAGATGTATAAAAAGCATAAAAACAAAATTATCAAGAACTAGGTTAATTGTTAGGTAGTCACAAAAAACATCCGAGGGACAAAGGTTAGGTTTATGTAGCATAGTGTAATGGAACCATCACTAGACTGTAAACCAGATAACCTGGATCCCACTCCCATATGCCATAACTGGTTATATGTAATTGGCCTCATAGTGACCTACATTTCTATTTCTGCAAGAAACTTAGAAAACTAGAGGCTTTAGACCAGATGCTTTCTAAGGTTATCTTACAATTTAAACTGTTACACTTTTAAGTCTTATGAGAAACATTTGTATCAGCCCTAACAGGAATGTTATAATTAGATGGAATGTGAGTTGTTAGGAACAGGTATGCACATACAACAAAATAGTCGGGATAAAAATAATACCTTCTCCCATCCTGGCTGACACGGTGAAACCCCGTCTCTACTAAAAAAATACAAAAAACTAGCCGGGCGAGGTGGCGGGCGCCTGTAATCCCAGCTACTTGGGAGGCTGAGGCAGGAGAATGGCGTGAACCCGGGAGGCGGAGCTTGCAGTGAGCTGAGATCCCGCCACTGCACTCCAGCCTGGGCGGCAGAGCGAGACTCCGTCTCAAAAAAAAAAAAAAAATAATAATAATAATAATAATAATACCTTCTAAGAATACTTGCAGCCACCATTGTCAAAACAGACTAAATTCTTGAAGTAGGAAAACCATTGGTCACAAATTGATCTTCCACTTGTATCAATAAACCTAAAAAATAGTATTGTTAGCAGTGCTTGTTAAATTTGAGAGCAATGATACACATAATTCTGTCTTCTTTGTACTGCTGTTTCAGACTCTGCTACTGAATTATGTTCCCTCCCAAATTCATATGTTGAAGTCTTAAACCTCAGCACCTTAGAATATGACGTTATTTGAAGATCAGTTCTTCAAGTTAAAAAGATGTTGGGAGGGGCCGTAATCCAATATGACTGGAGTCCTTATAAAAAGAGGAAATTTGGCCCAGCACGGTGGCTCATGCCTGTAATCCTAGCACTCTGGAAGGCTGAGGGGGATGGATCACCTGAAGTCAGGAATTTGAAACCAGCCTGACCAATGCGGTGAAACCCCGTCTCTACTAAAAATACAAAATTAGCCCAGCTGGCGCCTGTAATCCCAGTTACTCGGGAAGCTGAGGCAGAAGAATCACTTGAACCCGGGAGGCGGAGGTTGCAATGAGCTGGGATTGCGCCACTGTACTCCAGCCTGGGTGACAAGAGTGAAATTCCATCTCAAAAAATTAAAAAAGAAAAAAAAAAGGGGGGGAAATTTGGGGACAGACTCGCACACAGGGAGAACACCATGTTAACATGAGGCTATCCATCTACAAGCCAAGGACAGACCTGAAACAGATCCTTCCCCTACAACCCTCAGAAGGAACCAACTCTGCCAGTAACTCCATTTTGAAAGTCTGGCCTCCACAACTGAGAGACCATAAATTTCTGCTAGGCAACTCAGTTCGTAGTAATTTGTTATGGCAGCCATGGGAACTAATATCGATGCTAATTTACCATTTTATTGACAAACAAATATTGTTAAGCTATACATTTTCATGCCAGCAACCCATATCTCCCAGATCTTCCTAACTTTACATTAAATACTTCAGTGGGTTTTCTGTCAATAAACAATTTGACGTCAGAGATTTGGGCAAGAGTCAGCATAATGGCTCATGCCTATAATCCCAGTGATTTGGAAGGCCAAGGTGGGAGGACTGCTTGAGTCCAGGAGCTTGAGACTGGCCTGGGCAACATAGTGAGATCTCATATCTATAAGAAATTTAAAAACAGCGGGCATGGTGCCACATGCCTGTAGTCCTAGCTATGCAGGAGGCTGAAGTGGGAGGATTGCTTGAGCCTGGGAGACTACTGCCTGGGAGCTGTGATCAACCACTGCACTCCATCCTAGACAACAGAACGAGACCGCCTCTAAGGAAAAAAATATTAAGTCTGTGCATGAATTTATGGTTCCTCAACAGAAAATGAAACATCAAGTTATGAATGGGTTATGATAGTTATTTATTATTGTGTAAGCCCTTATTAGTTCCTCCCTCATCCCATCTTAAAATATTCAACAATAGACGGGGGCTCAAAAAAATTTTTTTTAAAAAACAGACTGCCATGAAAACCAAATCTTTTCTTCCTGTAATAACAGTGGCTTCCTAGTGTTATTTCTTATTAATGAGAGTATCCGTGGACTTAATTGTATATTGCATTTTAGTTCTAGTCGTGTAATAATTTAATGACTTCATACACAAAAAAACTAATATTGTCTTGAGTTTTAAAAAGAAAAAGTTACTAGCACCCACGGTTAAGGAAGAAAAACTGCAGCTCATTTCAATACATTTGTTTCTTTTCAATTCATGAAATCGAGCACATGCAAGAAACAGGATGACAGTCACCAGGAGTGGTTAAAACTACAAACTATCACGCAATTGAAAATACCACATTAAAGATATATTTATATACTGAAAATGGAGGAATGCCAATAAAATTTTATAATTTACAAAAGTTACCTGTTAAAGGCAAATTTCATAAGTTGTATTTACAATCATCCATTTAATCATCCCCAAAAAAAGGCTGAATTTATTATTTTAAACTTTCTGTAAGTTAGAATAATCAAGTTGTCTCATGGACTGGAAGGTGGCTTATTAATTCCCTTTCGTTTCCAAACCTCATCAAGCAGTCACTACATTTATGAGGTAAGTCAGCTGAGTGCTTGAAATCTAGATGAATTTTAAGATCTTCAATTTGTCCTGTTGAATATTCACAATATTGACATAAATAAATCCCTTCAGATAAATGTGAATTTAAATGCTTGCAATATTCTAGCATACTTGAAAAGCCTTTCCCACAGTCATCACAAACATGAGGAAAAATTTTAGTATGTTCAATAGCAACATGCCTGTTAACATTCGTATGAAGTCTACTCCGAAAACCACATACTTGACATACAAAGAAATTTTTACATTTGTCAAAGGTAATTTTGCTTAAGAGGCTATACTGTCCATGTTCTCCATTGTTATACTTATCACTTAACTCTATTAATTTACATGCATGCTCATTTACCACATGGCTATGCAAGTCTTCTGGATCATTAGTTTCATGTTCACAGAACTGACACAAGTACTGTTCATCACAGCTATGCTCCTGGAAATGTAGGTAGAGTTCACTGCTTGAGGAGAACTGTACATCACACTGTTCACACCAATAGAGGTGATCACTAAAATGGGTGTCTGCAATGTGCTGGCTGAGGTTCTCAAAAATTACTGTCTTATAATCACAGTATTTACAAATGTAGGGATCCTCTTCATGTAGCTTGGCATGTTCTATCAGAAGCATATTGGTAGAGAAACTTTCCTTGCACACTCGACACACATTTGAATCAGTACGTTTATGCTTCAGGATCATATGCTGCTTTAAGTCAGAAAAATATTTGCTGTTAAACTCACAAAGTTCACATTTATAGAGGCCACTGCTATTAGCTCTCAGTAAAGGCCATTTCTGCTGGGCAGTCACATTCAAAGCTTGGCTCTTGTCAAGAATTTTACAAAGTTTAGCTGGTGGTTCTTCATCAGTTTGGTCTTGGAGACTCTCAGAGGAATTGTTTTCTGTCTCTATATCATAATCCTCAGAAATCGCATGCACTTCTACAGCAATTGGAACATCTTCAGCAGTGTGAACTTCTATAGGACTCTCCTCTTGGGTTTGCTGGTTGACTGATTCAGGTGAGTCACACTCTTCATCACAAATTTCAATATCAGCAGATTTTTCTGAAGAATAAAACAAACTTATTATATGACTATAACTAAATAAGATCTGTGAAATACAACTGGGCAAAAAGAAATTTATTGCATGCACTTTTTTTAAAATTCACCAATACAAAATGTATCAATGCTATTAATTGGTTCCCCCAACCTGTAGAAAAGGCAGTGTGGTCTAGAATTCTAAGTACAGGACTGGGAACCAGGTAGTTCTGATTTCTGTTTCTGGCCTTGATTCCATCTGCAAATTTTGGCAAGTCATTTGATGTCTCGGTATCAGAATCATCATCTGTAAAAAGGAATTTGGAAGAATACTTATTATTTATATAATCAAAGCATTAATTATAGAACGAAGCATCAATTTTTAAATACAATTTTGAATTCCAACAGGAACTAAGACTTGGATTTAGTCACAAAAAGAAAATTATCTATATACCTCAGACACAGAAAATCTGCTCAAACAAGCAAATGCTTTAGAATTGATGCCCCATTTGAACTAGGTTACACTTTTTGAAGTTTCTTAGGATTTTAAGTTTAAATTACTGAGTTTCAGTAAGTCTTTATACCCGCAGGTCAGCGCCAGTGTTTCAAAGGTAGCACGGGGAAACTGAAATACAGGTTAATAGAGAAAATTGGGCTTCAATATTTTGCGAGGGAGCAAGTTTTGCTCTGTCTACCAAGGCTGGAGTACAGTGGCATGATTGTGCCTCACTCACTGAAGCCTCAAACTCCTGGGCTCAAGTGACCCTTCAGCCTCAGCCTCCTGAGTAGCTAGGACTATGGGCATGCACCACCAAGCCTGGGTAATTCTTGTTTTTTTGAGATGGGGTCTTGCTATGTTGTCCAGCCTGGTCTTGAACTCCTGGCCTCAAGTGATCCTCCCACCTTGGCCTCCCAAAGACCTGGGATTATAGGCATGAGCCACCACACCCAGCCCATCCATCATGTTTTCTTAAAATAGACTTTATTTTTTACAATAGTTTTAGAATTACAGAAAAATCTGAGAGGATAGTATGGAGAGGTCCCATGTATCCCAGTTTCTCCACTACTGACATCTAACATTAGTATGGCACATTTGTTAAAATTAATGACCAATACTGGTATCTTATTAATAAAGCCATCTAGATGTCCTTAGTTTTTAACCTAATATCCCTTTTCTGTTCCAGGATACCACATTCCATTAAGGTGCCATGTCTCTCTAGACTATTGTTGGCTATGGCAGTTTCTCACTCCTTGAGGAGTACTACTCAGGTATTCTATAGGATGCCTTGCTAATGGAATTTGTTGCTTTCTTTTTTTTAAATGATTAGGCTGGAATTACGGGTTACTGGGAGATAGACCAGAGGTGAATTGCCATTTTCATCACTTCTTATTAAGGGTACATACTATCAATATGATTTATGGTTGTTGATGTTGATCTTGATCACCTGCCTTAAGTATTTATCAGGTTTCAACACTGTAAAGTTGTCCTTTTTTTTTTTTTTTTTTTTTTTTGAGATAGAGTTTTGCTCTTGTTGCCCAGGCTGGAGTGCAATGGCGTGATCTCAGGTCACCGCAACCTCCGCCTCCCAGGTTCAAGCAATTCTCCTGCCTCAGCCTCCCGAGCAGCTGGGATTACATGCATGCACCACTACGCCTGGCTAATTTTGTATTTTTAGTAGAGACGGGGTTTCTCCATGTTAAGGCTGGTCTCGAACTCCTGACCTCAGGTGATCCGCCCACCTCCGCCTCCCAAAGTGCTGGGATTACAGGCGTAAACCACCGTGCCTGGCCTAAAGTTGTGCTTTTATTTTCCATACCTTACCCTTTGTAAGAAGTCACTATGTGCAGTCCATGTTAAGGAGTACAGACTTACATTCCATCTCCTAAAGGGAGGAGTAGCTACATAAATAATCTGGAGTTTTATTGTTTCTTGGCCTTTTGGTTAAGTCTAATAATTTGGAATTTTTCTGCACAGATTTGCCTCTTCTCCTCTATTTAATAATTTATAACAGCATGAATTCATGGATATTTGATACTCTTGGTTATAATTTTTTGTCCTCAAATAGGTTTCAGTTTTGGCTACTGGGAGCTCTTTAAGTTGACTTGTGCTCCTTTAGCATGCCCCTGTCAAGTGCGTGTGTTTGGGTTTTTTTAAGTACTTTTCCTATTTTCCGGCACTACAAAATGCTCCAGGTTCATCTTGTATATTTCCTGCCCCAGACCTAGAATCAGCCATTTTTCCAAGGAGGCCTAGTTCTTTTCACTAAAGAATGGCATTAGAAACCAAGACCTGGGCACTCAATGTGCTCATGCTCACTGCTTCTGGGTGTCATTTCTTTTAGGCCCTCTCAGCTAACAGAGCAAAAAGTGTGTGTGTGTACAGTACCATATATATATATATACACACACATATCTACAAGCATTCTGTATGTAGCCATCTGAATCTATAGTAAGCTAAACATGAATTCATACTGATGTCTCCAACTCTACATGATTTTTGTAATTTGTATTTCTGTGCCTGTAACGGGAGCTCAAGGGAACTGGGACAATCTGGTTGCAGAAGTTGTTTAAGTGCAAGTTGTAAATTGTTATCGTTCACCAATGCTCTAGAACAGAGGAGCCAATAGAAGATCCAAGATTGAAAAATACCAAATCAACCTCTGTTCTTTTCTTCCACACTATGTGGTATAGCTGAGTAGAACTGTGTCTAACAGTATTCTTAACCTTTCAAGATAAATACTCCCAACTCTGAGTCACACCTGCTTTGCCACCAATTCCTAACCAACTAAAGTGGATTTAGGACTGAGAGCCGTGGCTCAGCACTCTGTGAGGCCAACATGGGAGGACTGCTTGACGCCAGGAGTTCAAGACCAGCCTGGGCAACACAGCAAGACCCTGTCTTTACAAAAAAATTTTAAAAATTAGCCAGGCATCGTTGTGCATGCCTGTAGTCCCAGCTACTCAAAAGGCTGAGTGGGAGGAATGCTTTAGTTCAAGAGGTCAAGAATGCAGTGAGCCATAATCCATGGAGTGAGACTTGTCTGCATGGGTGACAGAATGAAGACTGTCTCCCCGCAACCCTACTCCCTTCAAAAAAATGGACTTACGAGAGTACACTTTTTTATTTATATATCAGAAATAATGTGAAAAGTTAAAATTATAGCCGGGCATAGTGGCTCACGCCTGTAATCCCAGCACTTTGGGAGTCTAAGGCTGGCAGTTCATGAGGTCAGGAATTTGAGACCAGCCTGACCAACATGGTGAAACCCTGTTTCTACTAAAAATACAAAAATGAGCTGAGTGTGGTGGCGCGCTCCTGTAACCCCAGCTACTCAGGAGACTGAGGCAGGAGAATCGCTTGAACCCGGGAGGCAGAGGTTGCAGTGAGCCGAGATCACGCTGCTGCACTCCAGCCTGGGTGACAAAGTGAGACTCCATCTCAAAAAAAAAAAAAAAGGAAGAATTAAAATTACTTGCTTTCTTAAAAAAATACAATTTTGCTTTCTTACATTGTAACAAATTTCAAAGACTTGTCTGTTTTGAAATCATCAATCCACATTTTAGCCACATTTTCAAGTAAGGAATAAAAAATGTAAAAGCAGTTTAAAGAAACATATTTTCAAAAATATTAGATATACCTTTGTTGTCAAAATATTTTAAATCTGGCTGTCTCATAGAACAGACACTGTAACAATGATCAGAGAAAATTCCATTGAATCCATCTGCAATTCTGCTTATTCCAGAGGAATCTGAACATAAAACAAAATGAAAAATATTTCAAGCACAGTAAACATACACATTTAATGAGAAACTTCCCGTTATCTAACATACACAGATGTTCTTAATGTTACAGTATCTGTAATGAAAATACTATATATTTTCAACTTTTAAAGCTTTTATATTTCAGATCTGATACTGACATTGGACTTTGAAAGAACCACAAATTACATACTTTAAAACGTAACAACTTTGAAATACACAAGGATACATTTGTTTTATACTCAGAATCACACAAAATAAAAATATATGATAAACACTGTATTAACTGCACAAAACAGTGAAATAAACACCAGGAAGGTGTGCCATGTCATGCACAGAAAGGTTATTACATAGGGGAAATGCTGAGGACCACTTAGGGCTTCTGAATATAGTCATTTCAAGTCTTGTATAAGAAGGGCCAGTAAGCAGTATACTAGGATTAATTTCTTCAGAAATGAAGAATGTGTAGGCTGGGTAGACTAATAGGTAAGACTGAGATGGTCCCAAGTAAATGTATACGAGGTGTATGAGAGACGGCCACAAAGACCCCTTTTCTTATACTGCCAACACAGCAGAGCCAACCTCAATCAAAGGATCTAAAATTACACAGTCATCCAGCCTGGCCAGCATGGTGAAACCCCATCTCTACTTTAAAAATACAAAAAATTAGCTGGGTGCGGTGGTACACGCCTGTAATCCCAGCTACTTGGGAGGCTGAGGCAGGAGAATCACTTGAACCCAGGAGGCAGAGGTTGCAGTGAGCTGACATCATGCCACTGCACTCCAGCCTGGGCTATAGAATGAGACAATGTCTAAAAAAAATAAATAAATAAAATTACACATTCAGAATGAATGAAAGTTTACATTTCCAAAAGTAATAGAGAGGATAAAGTCTTTTTTCCCCAATAATGTAAAATATTTTCTACTAAGGTTGTCATTACTGTGTCTTAAGCACAGCTTAGGAATCAGACATGCAAATCCCAATTATGCTATATAAGTAAATAACCTTGGCTATCTAATTTTAAGTATTTATAACCCATAGAGTTGTGAGGAATAAAATAATGTCTGTAAAGTTCTTATGTGTGCCTAGCACATGGCAGACAATAAGGAATATATATTCAGAGAATGTATTTAAACCGTTCTTTTACCTAAAAATTGACCCAGATACTTAAGTCTTATCTGATCACTCAGGAGAAAATGGATGAGAATATAATTTTGTGGGAATTAATCCATACCCAACTTCAAAATAAATTAATTACATGCTGACCTGAATAACGAGAAGGGTGTAGAGTCTTCCTTTTTCTTTTTTTAGGATACTCATTCATATCTTTTCAATCTAAAAAATGAAAAAAAAATTAACAAATATGTTACAAATAACAACTGTTAATGCCATTATAAAAATTCTAACTGAAGAATTTACTGGCAATAACAAATTTGTGAGCCACTTGAAAATCTATGGTATAACAAAAATGTTAAACAATGCCTCTGTTTGTATTTCAGATTGTTTTCCAATCAGGTTTCAAGGCAGAAACTGATTTCTGTTTTCTTTCTTACAGAGGTTAAAAAATTCTTTTTCAAATGTTGATATAAATTGTGAGAACTGGATAATTACAATAAATCAAATGCTTAAGTCATTTTGTGTATATATAAAAAAAGAAACATTGTGCCTATGGCACCACATTAGGAGTTTTATAGGCACAATTCCTACCATTGGAAATATTTTCACGTAGTTTTCAAGCTAAAGGTGGAGACATTTCCTTTAAAAAAAAAATATCATCACAAATATGTACCGGCCTCCTGGCTTCCAGAAAAAAGTACTCATCACATAGATCAGAATATAAATAATTTTTAAGAAAAAAATCATTTTCCTATTTATGAGGTCACATTCAACGTTCCACTGAGAACACAACAGGTGCAGCAACCATTGTCCAATTAAATTCTCATTAACTTATAAAATTAATTAGTTTCAATACAGTCCACTTACTTGGTGTAATTCTTACTACTGGAGTGAGGAAAAATGAATTATAATAAGTTTCTGTAGATGGTAAAAAAATGCCTGTAAGTAAAACATGAAAGAAGTTAGTAAGCAAAAAATATAGGTCATTTCTGGTACTGCATAATACAATGGTACCAGATCTTTAATCAACTGGAAAGTTATACAGAACTAATTAAGATACACTATTTTGAAAATAATGTACTACATACTAAAAACTATATATTGATAAATGTGATTATATGTAAATTTCCACATTTCTTTGAAATGATTCACATTCTACAGTTTTTTTTTGAGACAGTCTCACAACTGACCTATAGTTAAATCTTTTGATACCAAAATAAAAATATGAATCTGAATTTATTCATCCATAAGGAAAGCAAGCATAATGAAAGCAAATCAAATTATAAACTTTTTTTTTGTTTTTGAGATGGAGTTTTGCTCTTGTCACCCAGGCTGGAGTGCAATGGTTCGAGCTCAGCTCACTGCAACCTCAGCCTCCTGGGTTCAAGCGATTCTCCTGCCTCAGTCTCCCAAGTAGCTGGGATTACAGGCGCATGGCACCACACGGGGCTAATTTTCGTATTTTTAGCAGAGATGGGGTTTCACCATGTTGGCCAGGCTGGTCTCAAACTCGTGACCTCAGGTGATCCGCCCACTTCGGCATCCCAAAGTGCTGGGATTACAGGTGTAAGTCACCTTGCCTGGCCCAAATTATAAACTTTAAACTGTTACAGTCCTTATAGATTATTTATTTAAGAAATAAAAGTGGCTGGGCACGGTGGCTCACGCATATAATTCCAGCACTTTGGGAGGCCGAGGTGGGTGGATCACCCCAGGTCAAGAGATCGAGACCAACCTGGCCAACATGGTGAAATCCTGTCTCTGCTAAAAATACAAAAATCAGCTGGGTGTGATGGTGCACACCTGCAATCCTAGTTACTCAAGAGGCTAAGGCAGGAGAATCGCTTGAACCCGGGAGGTGGAGGGCTGCAGTGAGCTGACATCACGCCACTGTACTCCAGCCTGGGTAACAGAGCAAGACTCCCTCTCAGAAACAAAAAACCAAAACAAAACAAAAAAAAAGAAAGTAAAAGTGATAATAATTTACTGACCACCAATTATGTACCAGGCTGTGAACATACTTTATCTCATTTAATCCTATGTAATCGTATGAGATGCACGTTTCACATCACCCTCTCAAAATCATTTACTTCCTGCTATTGATGAGGAAACTGAGGCACAGCAAAGTCAAAGCCAGACACTCAGTAAATGCTGGGGTTGGGATTTGAATAAAGGTTTACTCAATTTTACTTATCAATCTATTTATTTATTTGAAACAGAGTCTTGCTCTGTCACCCAGGCTGGAGTACAGTGATGCGATCTTGGCTCACTGCAACCTCTGCCTCCCCAGCTCAAGTGATTCTCCTGCTTCAGCCTCCTGAGTGGCTGGGATTACAGGCGCCCGCCAGCACACCCAGCTAATTTTTGTATTTTTAGTGGAGACGGGGGTTCACCATGTTAGCCAGGCTGGTCTTGAACTCCTGACCTCAAGTGATCTGCCCACCTCGGCCTCCCAAAGTGCTGGGATTACAGGAATGAGCCACCGCGCCGCCTATAATGCTCTTAACATCAAGGTGATACACAAGACAAGTGCTCTAGTTGAGGTGCACATACTATTTTTGCTGCTTTGCTAAGTTCTGGGTATAGCAGCACTAAACTGATAACAATACAGCAAGGAATAGTGCTTTTTCAGTTTATTAAGCATTTTCCTAACCCTTATTCTACTTCATCTTCAAAATGGTCCTGTGAGGTACATGGAGGAGTTACTAACAAACCCATTTACATTTTTACTGATATGGAAACAGCCTTAGTGAAAGTTAAGTCAACTAATAAGTGGGAGAACCAGAGATGAAATGCATGTACATCTTGCTTCCAGTTCTTAGCTACCAGGTGGGAGAAGGGAAAGGGAATACCCTAGAGAAACCGATAACCATGAAATGTACAGAAATGATACCAATATTTAAAATGCCTCACCTCGCCGGGCACGGTGGCTCACACCTGTAATCCCAGCACTTTGGGAGGCCGAAGTGGGCAGATCACCTGAGGTCGGGAGTTCAAGACTAGCATGACCAACATGGAGAAACCCCCTCTCGACTGAAAATACAAAATTAGCCGGGCATGGTGGCGCATGCCTGTAATCCCAGCTACTTGGGAGACCGAGGCATGAGCATCGCTTGAACCCGGAAGGCGGAGGTGGTGGTGAGCCTAGATCACATTATTGTCCTCCAGCCTGGGCAACAAGAGCGAAATTCCATCTCAAAAAACAACAACAACAACAACAAAAAAACAAAACCAAAAAAACCCCAAAAATGCCTCACCTAACAATGTAAACAATTGTTCCTTGAGTAACCATCTCAATTCACTGCACTCAAAATTTTAAAAAAGAGCTATTACTATCTTTATATAATAAACTAAAATTTCAAGACTTATTAATACCTCTTTTGTACACTTCCAGAATTCATATAGCCCAAAGCTTCACACTTCACGTTCTAAATACTCTAAAAGTATCAGGGAGAACACTGAAAACCGTCAGACGAACATGTTAAGTAGTCTCTTGTTATTTCAGAATGTATCTCAAGTTCTTTAGAACTTGAAGAATAAAAGTAAGAAAAGAAAACCAAGCGTGGTATTAAAATTAACGTTGCAAGCTGGCCTGGATTCAGGCTGTTAGTTGAGAGGAGTAGGCACACGGATCAGGAACGGTTTGACTCCTACTTAGGGCGGAACAATATCCAAATGTCCATCGGACTTCCTTTCAGCACGATGGTGAGATGCCTATTCAAGATCAAAAATGCTAACCATCCTTCATTTTAGCAAACATTTTTATGTGCCTTTTGTGTGCATAACAGCCTTGAAAAAACTTAAGCTTTTTACTCAAGGACATCAGAAACATTTGCCCACTAGTCTTCTTAGCAGGAAGATTCTGAATCACAAGCAACTTATCACACAGTTCCCCCCTACCCCCGAAATACAAACGACATATGTAACACGTGTCACTGCAGGAAAATCAGAAAAATGTTTTAAAAACTTTATATCACCTAGAAACCAACATCTTTCCACCTGTCATTTTTTTCAACCAACAAGAATGTCTATGCACAAAATACAATACATACAACAGGTAGTCAGCAATTATCAAACAGATAAACATTTTAAAAGGCTTTTCATGCAATGTGTAATCTTTCTTCCTAATTGGTATAAGATGTCTTTACAGTAAATAACTCCATTTTTAACGAGTTTAAAAAGAGTTAAGCTTTCTTTTTCGTTCTCATTAAAATAAGTATACGCTTTAAATTGTAAAGAATGGAAACAAAACATGTTGCAGGAAAGCCTGAACTAGAATCCACTACACGTCCAACGTGGAGGCAGTCTTTACTGCAATACCACACGGTCACTCAATACTTGATTCGCTATTTTTCAGTCCGGCATAAATCTTTCTCTTTGCAAAAAAAAAAAAAAAGTATAAACTGCTTCAAATTACTCGTTTCCCTAGGCAGTACTTAAAAACAAAACCAAAAAAGGGTTTCTAAGCACTGTAATGAGTGGAGCGACTCTGGGCTGGAGGCTTTGGGCGCCAGCATCGACGCCTGCTCTCCGCGGCTACAACTCTTTGCGCGAGCCCGGGGATTCGCCGCCGGAGGTCACGAAGCCGCCGGGCAGGGCCGCAGCGCCAGCGAGGACCGAGGGGCGTACCGAGCCCGGACGCAGCCAGACAAATGCCAGTCGGAAGCGCACGGCAGGAGTCCCCGGGACTTAGCTGCCTCCACCCCGGCGCCACGCACCAGCCTCGCCCGGGCCCAGAAGTCGGCGCCGAGACTCCCAAGCCCCGACCCCAAAGGTTCCGTAAAGACAACGGCAGTAGGGGGCCGAGGCGAGCCCGGCCAAGCCGTCCTGCGCAGGGGGTGGAACTGCCACCGGGATGGGGGAGGGGAACGCCATCCCGCCATATAACGAAGGCAGAGTTTCCGTGTAAAGGGAGCTCCAGTCTCTCCCGCCCTCTCCCGTTGGAAGATGCGCCCGCACGCCCGCGTCCCCTGGAGCAGTCCAGCGCCCGGCCCACCCGCTCCTCCCTCATACTCACCAGTCAGTCCCCCCGGGCCCGCCCGGCCGGCCCACGCGCAGCTCAGAAGCGGTGGCTGCCGAGGTGCCGGAGCGCGGGCGGAGGGGCCGCGCGGTCCTTCCCGCGGACGCACGGTGGCGGGCAGCGCTGCTCCGGCCCTAGCGCTCCCCCGGCCCTAGCGCTCCGGGACGCTGTGTTGGGCCCACCCCTCTCCCTCCCCGCGCGCTCCACGCCCTGCGCGCCGGGTCCCTGGCGTAGGCTCGGCGACCGCACTGGCTTGGCCGCCTCGGTCCGCGCCTGCGCCGCGCACCTCAGGGGCCCGCCGAGAGGGCGGGGAGGTGACGAGGTGAGGTGGGGGCAGGGAGCGGGCTGCGCCAACGCACCGCACACGCGGCCTGGGAGGGACCACCGACCCGCAGCCCCGGGGAACGCCCAGCGGCCCGCGCCCCCTGCCGGAGGCCTTGCGCCGCCGCAGTCTCCTTCTGGGCGGGGAAGAGCCCCTCCCGAGCCCCGAGGGTGAGCCCACTCTCTAGGATTGCTCCACGCCAGGCGGCCAGCGAATTTACCCCCGCCCGCCTCCAGCGCCCCCTCGAGCCCTGAGGAAGTGGGAGAAACGTGGCGCGCAGCGGCAACTTTCCCCGCGCTGCTCCTCAGGGGAAAGGACGCGAATGGTCTTGCCCAGGTTAGGCAAAGCAGATGGCATTTCACATCCCAAAGTGTGCCAGCAGCCTGTTGGGGACAAAAAGGCCGAGGACCGCGTCACGGTTTACTGAGGCCACACCAGAGAACCACCCAGGGCTGGGATGCTGCCCTCAGGGCAAGAGGGTGAAATCTGAAGACTGCGAGTCGGTGTTGGGTTTCACCCGATTCCTTGGCTCGAGAAATAGTGGAATGAATGAGGAGTTAAGGGGGACTGGACTCGACGATTTAAGTCCTTTCTCGACTTTGACTTGCTTTGAGCAGCTGTGGAAATGATTAAATTACGCGAGCATAAATAAATTTGTGAACATGGTTCCCTAAATGATCTCTGTGCAAGTGTGGTGATATGTTTAATTCAATCCTTTTGATAATGAGTTGAGGTTTTTAGTCACATTTTACAAAATAGAAAAGTAAATGTGTGAGAAGCTAAAGACTGGGTCTTAATTCATTTTGGTAGCCTAAGCCCCTGAGGTTCAAACGGTTAAGAGGATGAGTGAGAGCCACGTGGATTATCAGGTACCCAAGGTCACGCGGATAGTGAGGACTGCAATGATGTCTCTTTATTCATGTCCACTGCGTTTTCTGATAACCACATGCTAATCAACTGGAAAGTAATCGCTGGAAAGTAATCACAGACTTTGATCTCTTCACCATCGCCCAGGAGATAAAGCTATATTTGAAAGAGACACTGCTTGCTTGTTTGTGAGGCTCAGTTTTTATGACCTCCTAATTTTTATGTGCGTACTCAGCTCAAATAAGCTAATGTTCACGAATGCTAGTATGGTCCGAATTACAGTTCAAAGAAATGTAGAGACATTTTTAAATCCTAGAATAGTTAGTATCTAGCACAGAACCGGGAATCAGCGCAAACCACAAGGGGGTGTCATGCCACCATCTTACCGTCTTGCTCACACCTAGCCTTGTGTCCAAAAGATCTTTATATTTCAAAATGAAGTTTTACTCCAAAACATTTTGTTGTGAAAGTAAACGCACACTCTCCCCAGCATCCCGTGTATTGTTTGCACTTAGAGGAACATGATGTTGTTTAGATGTTGTTTAACATAGTCACAAATTGCAAGCAATTCAAGTTCTTGATTAGCTGGAGTGTTTTTCAGTTTCATTTTTGGGTCCCTCTTTTCCTCCAGCTCCAAGGGAAGGTGATAGCTGGGATAAAACCCTGAAGTCTCAAGAGTACTAAACTGTAGAGTTTGTTCAATACTATTATAAATTTGATTCAGGGCTAATAAAACATCATTCTTCCAACTTTTTCACACATTTGTAGAATAGCCTAATTTCTCCTTACTTCCGTCCGTCCTTCCCTCCTTCCTTCCCTCCCTCCCTCTTCTCTTCTCTTCTCTTCTCTTCTCTTCTCTTCTCTTCTCTTCTCTTTCTCTTTCTTTCTTTCTTTTCTTTCTTTTCTTTTTCTCTGTCTTTCTCTCTCTTTCTTTTTTCTTTCTTTTTCTTTTTTCTTTTCTTTTCTTTTTTTGACAGGGTCTCACTCTGTCGCCCAGGCTACAGTACAGCGATGAGATATTGGCTCACTGCAACCTCCACCTCCCAAGTTCAAGCGATTCTCGTGCCCCAGTCTTCAGATTAGCTGGGATTACAGGCACGCGCCACCACGCCCGGCTAATTTTTGTATTTTTAGTGGCGATAAGATTTCCCCCATATTGGCCAAGCTGGTCTTTAGCTTCTGGTTTCAAGTAATCCGCCTGCCTTGGCCTCCCAAAGCGCTGGGATTACAGGCGTGAGTCACCACGCCCGGCCACTTAATTTCTTCCTGATTAGAAAAGAGTTACATTTTTAGTACATAATGGAGACAACAGAAAAGTACAAAGAGCAAAAGTAAATTTACCATAATCTCACAACCCTGAGCTCATCAATGGTAACATTTTGCTTTATATCTTTCCGTTATTTTTATACCTATTCAGACATATAAATTTGTTTTCAAAATTAGAATATTGGTTGTGTTTTTTTCTAACAGGTTCTTTTTTCCAATTAGTATAGCATGAGCATTCTTTATGGTTTTTTGTTTGTTTGTTTTTTGAGATGGAAATCTTGCTCTTTCACCCAGGCTGGAGTGCAATGGCCTGATGTCAGCTCACTGCAACCTCCTCCTCTCGGGTTCAAGAGATTCTCCTGCCTCAGCCTTCCAAGTAGCTGGGATTACAGGCCTGTACCACCATGTCCCACTAGTTTTTGTATTTTTTGTAGAGATGGGGTTTCACCATGTTGGTCAGGTTGGTCTCGAACTCCTAACCTCAGATGATCTGCCCGCCTTGGCCTCCCAAACTGCTGGGGTTACTGGCGTGAGCCACCGTGCCTGGCCTCTTTATGTTATTAAAGTGTTAATAGCACCTTAAAATCACTATAAGTTAAACAGTGGACATTTAAGTTGTTTCCATTATTTAAAATGCTTTACCAATTTGTTAAGTAAAATATAGTATTCCATTTTAATACGTGTAATACATATTTTTGTATGAAATGGAATATTTTCTGATGTGCTTATTAACTACCCCTACCCCTGCCCCCGGCCCCCCAGACTGGGTCTCATTAGGCTGGAGTGCAATGGCATGATCTCACCTCACTGCAACCTCCACCTCCCGGGTTCAAGCGATTCTCCTGCCTCAGCCTCTGAGTAGCTGGGATTACAGGCACCTGGCACCACACAGAGCTAATTTTTGTATTTTTAGCAGAGACAGGGTTTCACCATGTTGGCCAGGCTGGTCTCAGACTCCTGACCTCAGGTGATCTGCCCAACTTAGCCTCCCAAAGTGCTGGGATTACAGGCGTGAGCCACGGCCCCAGCCGACCATTTGTACTTATTTCATGAATTCTCAGTTTATGTCCTTTGCCCTTTTTTAAAATAGGCTATTCATCTTTTTTTAAGTAAAAATTTTAGCCTTTTACTTGTCATATCTGTTGCATGTTTCTTTTTCTCTCTTTCTCTCTCTCTCTTTTTTTTTTTTTTTTTTTTTAGAGATAGGGTCCTGCCCTGCAGTCCAGGCTGGAATGCAGTGGTGCTGTTGGCTCACTGCAGCCTCGACCTCCCAAGCTCAAGCATTTTTACCACCTCAGCCTCCCAAGTAGCTGGAATTGCAGGCCCCACAGAACCACATGTGGGTAATGTTTTAAATTATTATTTTTTGTAGAGACCAAGTCTCTTTATGTTGCCAGGGTTGGTCCCGAACTCCTGGGCTCAACTGACCCTCCTGCCTCAGCCTCCCAAAGTGCTGGGATTACAGGCATTAGCCACTGCACCTGGTCTGCATATTTCTTTGTAGTTTGTTGTTTGCTTTTTACTTTTGTTAGTGGTACAAACATTTTAAATTGTAGCGAAAGTAAGTCTATTAATCTTTTCCTTTGCAAGTTCTGTTTTTGGTCTTTTGCTGAAATAATCTTTTCTTCTATGCAAGATCTGGTTGCATGTTTTGCTTTAACTTTTTGGTTTGTCCGTAATTTATTTTGGGATATGGGATGAAGAGAACTCTTTCTCTCTCTGTCATGATCCTTTT